TATTTATTTATTTCCTATTTATCTAATTTACTATTGTTTTTATGAAGAGGCTATTTTAACCTGGGTTACACCATCACCGTCAGCTTTAATAGATCAAAGCAGGAATGTGTGGACTCTCTGTGTTCGCAGGAGAGACTGCATCATAGGAGCTTATCATAAACACATCATGAATCTCAGGACGCAGGAACCTATGGTGAGACATTCATGCATTTCATTCAGCCATCACTGCTGAACACAATTACTGCTTTTCAATATGTTTGTCTTTTTGTCCAGTCAAAAATGAAACATATTGAGTAGCAGATGGGATGAAATTTCCAAAAATTGAAAGTGAGAATTTTCACCCTTGACAAGCATCAGAGAAACGATTAAAATCAACGAGTGATATTGGGAATTTTTTACAGGATTGGAACAATTTACAATTTAGAAATGATTGATAACATTTAGACGTTCCAACTGGACTAACTCATTGAATTGCAACTTTGCAGGACATTGGGGGATCTGAGGAGGATTCAAGCTAATCTCATAACCACAGAGTCAACACCGGCTTCAAGTTTTACATTTTAGTTGAGCATTTAACCAAGAGGACAATGCTTCCTGTGATGTACACCCTGAATTTGTCCTCATGTTTTTATTTTCTAGTCAATTAAAAGAATATATGGATCACTGTGTTGATTTTTGGTACTGTGTTTTTCTGTGTTCACAGTTCGTTATGGTAACAAAGGTTTTCTGATTTTCAGACTCACACTCAACTTAATAAGTACGGCGGCAATCAAAACTAGGCGCACCTCAAAATCGCAGGGTTTTATGATGTAATCTGCGATTCAGCACCAGAATTATCTCGACTTCATACTGTCATCAATTATAATCTGGGTAACTACAAATAAACTTCAGCGGCCCGAGAGCAATTTTCCACACTTTTCCTCATTCACATCTTTTGTGTGACATTTTTGGGCCATCAGTTTATAGGGTATGGTTGGCACCAAACAGAACATCACCGAAACATTGAATGTAAGTAAATGACAGCAACATAATTGTTAAAGACTTGCTGCCAAATACAGATTTAAAGCCCAACTGTTCCATATGATTCACCATTTGATGTTAGTTGTTGTTTTTACTTTAGGGGTACAGTAACCTTGAATGTTATGAAATGTAATATTACAATTTGGAATAAGGCAATAACACTGGGAATACTTTCCCATTACGCCACATTTCTCAGTGATAAGAAACTCTTCATATGAGGATCGAAATGACAAATGATGAGTCACTGCTCATTTTCAAACCACACAGGAAAAGAAACAGACGTTTTCTGTGGATTACGTTACTCGTCTGATGTCTGGAAATCTTGAAGTCTTCAGAAACAGAGGTAAATGAATGGAGAGAAAATGTTAAAGACACATTAACCATGACTGCAGAAAGTCAGAGGTGGAGACACAAGAGGAGAAAGGGAGCGTCACATTCGTGGGTTCTTTCCAGGAATTAGGGCTTTTGCAGGTCACATGTTCTTTTTGTTTTGTGTAAACAAGTCCGTAACAGACAGCAACCTGACGTCGGACTTTCAGCAAAACAAGTGCTACCATAGATGATGGGGTATAGATATGCTGCCTCGTTACTCCCTTCAATGATGTTTGTCAAACCTAAGCTGTGAATAATTTAGTTAGGCTTGCATTTTTATAAGCTTATACTGAGTTGGTGATAATTTTTTCCCAATCTATAACCAATGGGCGAGAAGCGGGGCAAATCCCGGACAGGCTGCCAGTCCATTACAAGACAGAATGTTTTCACACAGGATCCATCCACAAACACGCACTTACACTTAAGGGTTTAGAGTAACTAGTTAATGTAACATTCATGTTGTTGGACTTTGTCTTTGACTGATATTTAAATTGGTTTCATGTTCTGAAACACTTAAATAAGTGTAAGTGTAAAATGCAAAGAAAATAGGAAATAGGAAGAGAACAAACACTTTTTCATACCACTGTATATATTATTTTTTCAATAAATAACCCAGATTACAAACATCCACAATAAAAGCAAACTTGTGCAGCCAAGCATTGCTTTAAAAATCCCTGAAAGTAATGGCGTATAACTATTCCTCCTTGAAGAAGAACTGTTCAATCATTAGACGTCCCAAACCAGTCGTTGCCCACGGTGAGGCCAACCACTAAACATTAACTACATATGAAACTGCCTGGACTACAATGTGAAAGCTGAAAGCCAAATGGTGGAAACAAGTTATTTTAAATTCTGCTTTTTTCCTAATTTCACCACTAGAAAACATGGCGTGTCCATTTAAAGCCACCTACAGCCTATGATGGTCTTCAGGGAGCTGTCAGGTTCAGCAGTCATGGGGTTTTCAGAATGTCTTGTAGCGGCGTGGGGACGATTCGCACCTCTCTATTAATTAACTGAGCAGAGTTTGTATTCGACAGGCCGTCCTCTTGCCATACAAAATCCTAACAAGTCAGATCATAAAATAATTAGACTCCGACATTTTGCTATAGCAGGAACGCTGGTGGACAACAGAAAGGAGGAAGGTGAAGGAAAACCTGGAGCTTTTTGGAGGAAAAAAAGTGAGTATTGGTTGAGTTTTCCAGCACAAGACAATACAGACCTTGTTGATGTTGCAGCTCACCAAAAATGTTAATATTTCCGAGTCTTGCAAGTGTGACATTTGAGATTAAATGTCCCTTCTGCTGAACTGAGATGCTGTTTTTAAAGACTAAGACTGAATAAGTCCAGCTAATGCTCTTGGGAAATGCCTGCAGATCCAATATGAGTATTTTTCTTATTAAGAAAGAAATCCTATTATACTACTTTGTAGTATTTTCTGATTTATACCATTTGTGTTACTGGCAAATATTTCTAAACTACCAGTCAGTTTTCCCAGTAATGTTGGTTAATTTTAGCAGAAATCAAGTTCAAATAGAATAGAGATTGTCAATGAATAATTTCCAGTACACATTCATGAAAAATAACCAAAGGTAACTTATTTTTGTCTGTTTTAAAAACAAGTTACTATACTGTATTTAGACTAAAGTAACAATTATTAATCCTGTGCAATGCTTAACAAAAAGATGGAGAATGAATAAAAACATACAAAGATGAAAAGCATACATATTAACAACACAGGACTGTCCTGGGGAGGTGAAACGTTTTGAAACTTCCTAAGACAGGAACGTCGTCGTGCAGAGCAAAGAGGCCAGAAGGGAGATGCTCTTATGCACGTTTTTAAGCAACAGTCGATTATAATTACAGATACATCTCAAGAACTAGAATACTGTGCAAAAGTGCAATATCACCACAGACTGGCAGTGACAGTCAGGTAGACAACTCTAAAGTAAGCATCTTTCCCATAACTGTGTGGGCCCCAACACGGCTGTAACACATTTCTGACAGTTCTCAGAGAGTCTGGATGATTTTAAAACCATGCTATTCAACTTTTATTTACTATCTATATTTATCATTTCTGTCTTTGTGCTCCACTAGGTCCGTTTACCAGTTTCAGGACCCGACCAGAACCCTTGAGTGTAAATTACTTTGAGAAATAATGAGATTTGGTTATATATGAATAAAAGTAGACTTTAATGCTGAAAAATGGTCAGCCATACGTGTCACACAAATGGAACAGATGCAGCGTTACATTCACTTAACTCACCTTATGGATGGAACCAAGAGAGGCAAAGATTGTAGCGCGAGTTTAGCTTTTTATTCTCTGCAATCTGTTCCCTCCAAGGCTTGTCTAATCAGTTTCAGTCTGTTTATGTATGACTGCCACAAAAACATGGTTGTGTAAGCTGCAGCATGTGCACAGTTAAAAGAGGCTAGAGAGATAGAGACAGAATAAAAGAGATAGAGGAAAAGATAGAACCTACAACAAAGCTTTGTAATATTATTATTTATATTTTAATTACTAGCACTTTTAGCGAGCTTATATTATTTATATAACACCATAGTTTTTTTTAAATATGGAGATTTTTTTACCATATATACATTAATTGTATAATTGTTATCGTCTGTATTTAAGTATTTGATTTTTGTATTTGAATACTTGACCTAAAAAGTGATATACATGTCTTGAAAACAAAATATTGGAGGAAACCTACGTGGAAACGTTCACAGTGTTGCCATAATGGGGCAGCAGGTCTGGTCTGAGTCACGTGACCAGCAACAAGCCAAAATAATGAACTGATTAAATCACCTGTGTAAAAGTTAGGAGCAGATCAGACGCGCGTCATCGGGTTAATGTGACCAGAGGACAGGAAGCTCTGTCTCTGACCTTTAATCACATCCAGTCATTTTTATCCTGGTGTGTGTTACTGACCTGCAGCCGGGTCCACATGCCTCTGAACGCGGGAGCAGGAGCCGGTTACGGCAGCGTGCCGGACGCCGGGCCGCCGGGCGGCGAAGGCGCCTCGGAGACAGCCCCTCTGCTCTCCCCGGAGCCGGTGTACCAGTGGCAGCCAATGAACAGGCAGCAGCTGGAGGCCGCCGCCGGGGGTCCGGGCTGGAGGGCGGTACGCTGCTACCTGGTGGTGCTGTTCTGGCTGGCATGGATGACTATGCTGGCTGTCGCCATCGTTGTCATAAACCCGAAACCGCTTCCGGCGACGCTGAAATGGTGGCAGAAGAGTCTGTTCTACCAGATCCAGCCCGAACCGAGCCCGCACGTGCAGGACGAGAGGTCAGGGGGCATCAACGGTAAGAACAAGCGGAAATGTGACGACAAATGTGTGATTTTGAAACGTGTTAAATTATGAAAAAAATTACCCAGTAGAGTAGAAAAAAATGTTAAGCTTTTTGTAAATCCTAATTTACTAGATGGCCAAAGGGAAAAAAAAAGGTTTTTATTCCTTATTTGTGCAGTTTTATGTAGCACCATTTTCATAAAATTGTTTAATCAAAAAATAAAAATGTATATTCCAATCTACTACTTCTGGAACAATATCAAACCTGGAGATGTTTGGGGATATAAACAAAAGCCTCATGAACTGTTGAGCATAGTTGTGGAGAGTTTGCTGTATTTTTACAAGTAGTTTTTCTCTCACCATGTCTGCTATGGCTGGTTTGGCTCCGTTTTGACAGTTGTGAATCTGTCACTAACTGCATAGTTCCCTTAAACATTTGAGTCGCTTTTCTTTCTCTAAATCAATATTAATCTCAAAATTTGAGTAAATGAATAAAAATCAGCCAAAGGACCTGTTTACAATTACCCATCCCCATAATCAGCTGGTTTGATACTTGTTTGTATTAAACAAATGCATATTCTAACCACAGAGTGGGACATTCATCAAAGAATATTTGCTGAAAGTCGTGTGACAATCTTTTCTTCTCTCTTTTTTTAAAAATGTATGCCTGTTTTTGTGAGTAATTTTCTGTTTGCGTCACACATTTTCACAGGTTTCAATCTAAATTTAGGGCTATAAGTTGATCCATAGTTTGGGTTATTTTACTGCATTTTAAAGTGATA